GAGAGAGAGAGAGAGAGAGAGAGAGAGAGAGAGAATAATATTCACGTAGACGTTGCCGCGAACACTCGAGACTATTTTGCGCACCACGTTCGTCAACGGGTTGTACTCAATCACACGGTCGTGTATGATGAGACAGTACGCAGAGGTATTCGGCGGTATGTTCTCCATGCAGTCGAATTCTATTCTGACATCCACGGTGGCGTTTTTGACGGATTCGTTTTGGCGGGAGCAATCGATGATCACAAACGGGCCGTTACGTAGAAAAGTCGAAGCGGTGAGACTCGGCTCGAGATATTCGTATATGTAATAGTCCTTGCAGAAACGCGCGTACATATCGTACAGAATCGCTTATCTGTGTTTGCCAAAGTCCAAATTCAGGTCATCGTACGGATAAACTTCCGAGTTTAGATACAGTTTTACGTTGGTCAAGTTGCAGTCGTCGAATCGGCTTGTGTCGGCGGCCATGACGTTCTTCCGACCCGTCTGCAGAGCGAAAACGACGTATCGCGGTTTCTCGAGCTGAGTCGCGGTCTTAATGGCCCACGAGTGCTTCGTCGTGTTCTGCAACAGAGGATACTCGTACAGATCCCACGAACGGAAATCCATACTTAGATATCGTCCGTCTTCCAAGGCGCGCAGCATTGACAGCTTTTTGATCTCGTTCAATACCACATGAGGCATTCGCCATTGTATCTTGAGTATTTTGATAGTAGACTCCAACGCGAGACTTCCCTCTAAGGAATTGTTGTTGCGCGCTCGTATCAAGATTAATTCGTGACGAGCGTTGATCACCACGCGTTTGTAATCCTCGCAAAATCCCAGTAACAGGTTGAGCGGTACGCAGAAATTGAAGTATCCGTTCACGTTATTATGTGGTTCCCAGCCCGCGTTTCGCAGGATCACGTTTCTGTCGGACGATACCGTAACGTAGTTCTGGAACGTGCTGGTTATTCCTACGTTTCTGCAGTGATCAATCTCCACACCGTCGAGCTCGTATCGAATTTCATCGAACATGAACGCGACGCAATTATTCCCCAATACCACGTTATCGGCTTGGCCGGCTGCTCTGGTCACCGTCAATGTTCCTTCGACGTAGAGAAAACTTTCGCACGACAACGTATACAGATCCTGCTGTTGTATGGGTATTCGTATCTCGTCGCTATACTCGAACGTTGTGTTGGCTTACGGGTTGTACGTGTGAGACTCGATCTTGACGATGCGATTGTCAAAGACCGGCTCGCCTCCGATGTTAAGAATTTCAGTCATCGTTCAGATGTTTCGTACCGCGAATCCCAGAGATTGTAAAAATTTAACGTTTGATGCGTTGAGCTTCTTTCTCGTTTCTGTTTTCGTCTCTGTTTTAACGCTACCGAATGTCGATTTGATGATATAGTCGATCGTCGCAGTCGTAAAGATATTCTTATCTGTCGCGTGCTCCGAGTCGTTCAACACGAGGATGTCACACGTCGCGCGTTATCGCTGTAGCCGTCGTACGTGCAATCTGACGGTGATCTCTTCTCCTCGAAAATCGAGCAATCGTCGGTCTTGATCCGTGACGCGTATCGTTAGATTCGTAACGCTTTGCGCGATGATCGGCAGATAAATGATCTGCGCCGGCGTTTCCGATATCTTATATCCTGGTGGTACGCTCGGTGAAAATTCGTGTATCGTGTGAACACGTTTGCCGTTGCTGTACGCACCTACGGTCACGTTACACTCCACGCGGATAATGTTTATGTTGATAATATTAATTGACGCGTCCGATTCGTGCCACTGTCTCGGCTGCAATATACGCTTCGACGAGAATCCCAGCAATGATTCAACGTTGTTCGGTTTGTTAAAATTCACTCTGAAAGCACACTTGATCTCGCTCTTCATCGTATTGTAATTTGCGCGGAGCACTATCGGGTATTCCGCGGCCACGTCTTCGTAACCGTTCGCCTCTCGCGCGATATTCGCGACCGACATACGATCATTGTTGGAACGATTTACGCGTCGCGGGCGTTGTCGTGAAATTTCGCGTTTCAAAAACTCATGTATGGCTCGTATCTCGTATCCCTCGGGAATCGTAATTTTCGTGTCATCCTCGTCGAAATAAAATTTATTGTTCGAAGAATTCACGTTCGGAATCGTGTGATAAGTCTCAAAACACGTTAGACCGAGCTCGTAGTCACCGTCGCTCAGATCCACGGCGGGAAAATAGTGCTCCGCGAGGATGCTGCTCTTCCCCGTCAGCGTGAACGTTATAGACATGTCAGCGAAAACCGCTAACGAATACTGAGTCACCACGGCGCACCGTCAGGCTTTAAATTAGCGTCGATCGTCCGGAGAAATCGCAAGCACAATTGTCCACAGATGTTCTGATCGTATCGCTGATGAAGACGTGCAATTGTACTCGATCTTCGTCACACTCGGCTCGAAATATCGCACCAATTCTTTCGGCGGTCGAAGATTTCCGAAACTGTCAAAATATACGACTCAATCTTCCCTCTTCGCGTACGCTACCTAATGAGTACCGGGACTCGCTGCATCGTCCAAATTCACGATACCGCTCTCGTTTCGACGTACACCGCCGATCGGTAACGAATCATGCATGAAGACACCTCTGAAGAACGGTACGCGCATACGCCTTGCCAGTCGATTCAATTGTACGTTAGTCGTAATACCCGCGGGCATATTTAACATCTTTTTGACGTTTTTTTTTTTATTTTCAACGATACTCTTCGCCCGTGTTTGTGCGGGCCGAGATACAGCCCTCGTCCATATTTGTACGGAGCGAGATAAAGTCCGCGACCTTCCACGGCGTGATTGTGACGTTGCATCTCTTCCAGCTGACGCCGCGCGGCTTTGTTATTGTTCACGGCCTTTACGACTCCCGCCGCTTTGCCGGCCAGAAAACCGAGAACTCCCAACAACGGTAGAATCGGCAATACACCGCCTCGTTTCGCTGTCGGAAGTATCCGTTTATTTCGTTAGCTTTTTTTCTTCACCGTTTTCGATTTTTTCGTTTTCAAGCCCATTCCGAGCTTCGTCTTAGCCTTCATGGTCGCCCAGACGGCTGTAGCGGCAGCTCTCTCTCCGAGAGTCGAATCTCTCGCAGTAATGCGTTTTCGCGCTTCCGCAGCGAGTATCTCGTCTGCCGCGTGTCTCTCGGTGAGATCGCGGTTACGCGAATAGTCGTGCTCGCGACACGCCGAGTCCAATAGATTAATACCTTGATTGCCTCTCGCCAATCGTTCTTGTAAACGAGTTCCCGGACCGCAAAATTGATAGCTGGGAATGTGTAATTCGAACGGAAGTGCGTTTATCTCGCGATTTAACAGGCCTCCACCATTTTTTTTTGTTGACATTCGCCGCAATTTTTTATCATTGGCGCGGGACCGATCATTGGCGTTGCGATCGTTGATTGCAATGTTCGTAACAGCGACGATATGCTTGAACTTCCAAATCCGCCTTTGTATGTTCCGGAAGCTTGTCCCACACGTAGTGGACGTGATCGCCGCACGTTTGCAACAGAACGGCTTTCGGCACAAATTGCAGCTGTTCGGCGCTCAATCCGCGAATATCGGAAGGTCTCGACAGTAGGACGAACATCTTTGCTACTGAGCGATTCGCGGTTCCGCTCACCTATAAATAGGCGTTCGAGTCAGCCAGAGAGTCGGCAGTGTGGAAAGAAATGAGATTCGTGCGACAACCGTTGGCGATTCGCGTGACAAATTGCGACGATAGAGCACGGTCGATGGAGGGCAACGCGGAGAGGCGCAGACACGGTACGATGCTGCCGACTACTATACGCGCGATAATTTGCTGTCCCTCAAATTGTGGTAAAATCCACGTTCTGATAAGTTTGCTAGAAAGTCCGCATGGTGTACGTTTCGAGAACGTGTACGTGTACTCGAAATCGCTGCAACAACCGAAATACCGATATCTGGAGAATTTATTGACATTGATCGATGAAATCGGCTATTACACCTTCTCCAATAACAGTGACGTCATTTCACCGAGCGACGCGTGTCCAAACTCGATCTTCGTCTTCGACGACGTGGCGTGCGATAAGCAAAACACTGTGAGAGAGTATTTCTCGATGGGTAGGCACTCGAGGGTTGACTGCTTTTCTCTGTCAGACGTACGCGAGAATATCTAAACATCTGATACGCGACAACGCAAATTTGCTGATCTTGTTCAAACAGGATGGCACTAATTTGAAACACGTGTACAACGATCACGTAAATACCGACATGGCGTACGATGAATTTTGCTCGTTGTGCCACGATTGTTGGCAATGCAAGTACGGATTCGTAGTGATAGACAAGGACAGCGCGCTTTCGAACGGCCGATACAGAAAAGGATTTAACGTGTTCGCAATACCGCAAAAGCGATCAGTCGTCACCGATACGTCGTCGAAGGTAAAACGTTAGCGTTACAGAGAGAGATCGACACTCTGCTTTGTTTTTTCCCCCGCGATGGCTGCGATCGACGGGAGCGAGAATATTCGCGAACGCGAGAAGATCGTGAAAAATATTGCGAAAACGATTTGATTCGCAAGAAACTTCGCGCTTTGAAGACCGGTAAGATCGAGAAGGACATTGAGTCGGATACGCACTTAAGACCTCTTATCGGGCCGTTGAAAAAGATTGTCGACAACTCGAGTTTGATCGTGGTGAAGAAAAAGGAGCCGACGGAGAGCGACGCTGACGCGAAAATCGAACCGCTATCCGTTCAACAGCGCAAGGAAGCCCGAGTCCGGGCATCCCATATTCAATGCTGGCCCCGTACGGGCATTACTAAAGCATCTAAAATAAGGGCTTGTCAAACTCAAACCCATTTAGGACTTAGTTAGAACTTAATTTTTGTCTTTAATTTGGGCACGTCTAACTATAGCCATACCGGGCCCAGTTTGGTCACGACTTTTCTCCCACGACAATTTAATGTAGGATTTTCTAGTTATAGCCCATACAGGGCCCAGTTTGGTCACAATTTTTTCCCCAAGACAGTTTAATGTAGGATTTCCTAGTTATAGCCCATACAGAACCCAGTTTGGTCACGATTTTTTCTCCCAAGACAGTTTAATGTAGGATTTCCTAGTTATAGCCCATACAGGGCCCAGTTTGGTCATGATTTTTTTCTCAAGACAGTTTAATGTAGGATTTCCAAGTTGTAGCCCGTACAGGGCCCAGTTTGGTCATGATTTTTCTCCCAAGACAGTTTAATGTAGGATTTCCAAGTTGTAGCCCGTACAGGGCCCAGTTTGGTCACGATTTAACGGAGAAGGAGGAGAAGGAAGAGGATGCTACACCGAAGATAAAGAGGGAAGACTCCTGGTGGGATCTGTCATCAACAACGCGTAAATCTGATCAATCGAAACGATCGATAGTACTACCGATAACCTCTACACCGACGCAAACCGTGCAACGTACAAGTCCCGAATTACCGGTAAACGTAAATGATGTTTTTGAAACCACGGACGACTCGATCGGGACGACCGTTCGAAAGCAGTTGCAAACGTCGGAGGGTCGAGAAATGTTTATAGAAACGTTGCAAGATCACTTAGGTCCACTGAGCCGAATTTACATCGCGTCTGTTTTGGGCGCCTATCCAACGGGATGGATATCGTGTACGGCGTTTATCTCGGCAAGAATGAAATGATGCTCGGTAATAAACGTTTTGACGTGGACAAAGCGGATAGCATTTATATCAACGGCGTACGATACGCCGGCACACCCGGTATTTACGAGTTGATCTTCAAGAAAATACCCGATGACAAGATCTACACGAGTGCTCATAAATACAAGCACGATCCTCGCGAGCGAATAATGGGCAACAGGGGATACAAGTATCTATACGTAATCTCACCGTTGATATCGACCGAATCCAAGAAGAAAAATCCGGAAAGGGATTATTCGCGCCTCGCGCGATGACGCTAACCGACAATAAGATCGACTACGTGCACTGGGACGACCCCAACGAGCTAGTGGATCGTCTGCGATTGCTCGACGCTTCGCGTCAAGCTGGCAACAATGCCCACGACAACGAGATCATGTCGATCATCGAGGAACTTCGCGAGGCTGGGATTATTATAAATTAAACGGCGCGACACCGTTCAATCCGCGTCGAAATGCCGATCAATAAATTTGTATTGTTCGAGCAGAGCGAAGACGCGACGAATGCCATTTCGTATCATCGATGGAGCGGATTAGTGAGAAATTTCGTGCGCGACAACGCTTTATGTCGCACCGCCACGGACTTTGACGCAAGGTCGCGCAAGA